TTAGGACTAAAATGACTTACATATTTAATCATCTAGATTAGAATTAAAAAGTGAATTGTTGCTGTTTAATTCGTAAAATATTTTTTATTCCGCATAAAATACCTATTCACCACCATCTAAGCATTGTTAGAGTTGAACTGTGTAACTTTCAGAATTGAAGTTGAGAGATCAGCAAATGGGATTTTTATTTCTCAAAGGAAATCTGTCATCTACTTGTTAAATGGAATCGAGATGGTAAGATGTAAATTGGCTGACACTACCATAGACCAGAACCATTAACGTGGAGAAGTAATAGGCGACTTTGTTGATAAAGGAAGACATCGAAGATTTGTGGGAAAATTGATTTACTTACCTCATACACGCCACGATATAGCTTACACTGTTAGTAGGTTAGCCAATTAATCCACTCGCAACAAGAGTGTCACTTGGGGGCTGTACGGAGAATATTGAGATATTTAAAATCTACACCTTGTTATGGCTTAATATTTTCAAAGCATGGACAAGATGCAAATTGGGAAAGTTCAGTAATACATCGACTATCTACAACCGGATCTTGCACTTTTGTTGGAGTCAATCTAGTGACAAGGAGCAAAAAATAACACGTAGTGGCTAGATCAAGTGCAGAAGCTGAGTTCAGGGCTTTAGCTCATGGCATCTGTGAACTCTATGATTGAAGTTTGTACTTCAGGCAGTCTCTGAGATTGTATTGTAATAATAAGGCAGCCATCAGTAGAGCTCATAATCCGGTACATCATGATTATACCAAACATGAGGAGATAGTTAGACACTTCATATGAAAACATTTTGTACCTTCCAAAGGATAACTTGCAGATATATTCGCGAAGGGGGTTAATGGAGCTGCTATTTAGGAGTACTCTATGCAAGCTGGGATGTACAAGTATCTTTGAACCAGATTGAGGGGAGTATTTGGATGTATTTCTTCCTGTTTTAGGAGATTATGAGTTGACTAATCATCGACATGTAATTTATAGGTTGTGATTAGATTATTTCCATTTTTCTCTCAGAGTTTACTATATTCAGATTCCCTGTATAGTTGGCTGATTCTTATATATTCTGTAATCCTCTTTCAATTAATGACGAAAAGGTATTATTCTCCAGTTCTCACAGAAACCATGAATGCCATTATTGTAGCAAGACCGAGACAGCAACGTTGAATACTTCCAGGACAAAAATCTTAAACTAGCAAAGAAGGTGAAGCATTCAGGAACAAAGATGTACTCAAAAGACTGTAAAAGGCTTTTTTACTAGTGAAAACATACCACCAACAAAAACGTCAATCCAGCCTTTTCCAGAATGATTCTCTTAAGGTTAGAGCGTTTCCAAAGATTCAAGGATTCTTCCACCGTACTTCATGTGCTGAATGACTGGCACCAATCCTGCTAACATGATGCAACGTGTTTTAGCATTCACTATTACATACTTCAAAACTACATTAGGTATGGAGACAACAGAGCTCTGTCAAGGAATAACCTAGCATCGATGACATGTTTTTGCTCTTGTGAAAGGGATGAAAGCAATAAATGTAGAACATGATTTCCAGTACATGAATATCACATTCCTTTCTTTATTTTGCTATTTAACCCACACTTTTTCCAAAAATAGTGATGCAGATTTGCTAGACCTGACCATTTCCTAACGAGAAAAAGCTCAATCTGCACACTTTGCCATAGAGTGTAATTATGTGAAACATCTATTGTCAACACTCAACAATATATTAGAAAGAATGGCACAGCAATTGAGAACCTAAATACACATGAATATGCAATTGCCAATAAAAAGTAAGGACACAAGGAGAATGGGCAAGCCAAAGGGTCTCCCTAGTGTTGGCAAAGATCTCGAGAGCAAGTATCTTCTTCGCCTTCCCATTGTATCAACTTCGTACATCCAATCTTGATATAGTTAAAGTTGAAGAGACGAGAAAGTATGAAATTGTTGTGTCCTTGTATAAGCATAAAACTACCATGAATGGGTTATTAAACAATGCCATCTAGGCTTCTTGACATACCTGCATTAGCAATGCTTGCGAAAAATTATTGGATCACGTTCATGATTATGACTTCCATCTTCAGGCCGAGCTCTTGCCTTGAGCAAGATATATGCTTTTGGAACTTTACAAATAACATCTTGCGAATAAATGATTCATGATAGTAAAATTGCTGAAATATAAAATACGAAACAAACAACACCTCACATGGGTGTGTGAAACCAAACATCCTTGTTTTTGAGAATACATGAAAACTTTTCCAGATCAAAATATAGTTAGAGAATAACCTCTTAGTTCTTTTCTGATTCATATGACATAATTTTGCAAAATTAGTAGATAATCACACCAAGCAAACAAACACTCGAAAATTATCCTTATAAAATTCTATATGCTCTAGACTATATGTACCTAACATTGTTTCATCTTGTTCACTCAAAAAAATGGTTATAATTCAAAACCCAAACTCCCACATTGTGACTACCAGTAATTAAACCAAGAACAAAATTAGGAATCACTGCATACCTCTGGATCTCTTCTCTTTGGAGAGTTGTAAACAGTACAAGCATGCCACTTCAACCTTCATATCTTCTATGTTGAGTTTACCACTATTTCTACATGAATCTAGTTTCATATGCACCAAGTCTTCATCAATTTTGCATGTAATATGTTGCTGCAGTAAAACCATCAAATAACAAACTTTGTCAAAAACAGACGTTCACAACAAGATTAAATAGTAGTTGTAACTACTTTGGTGATTGTACATGAGCCAAGCGTGTCAGGCAAAGTTACCTGAGCCTTTGATGAGCTTTGTTATCAATTTTTTTTTCGAAGGAATGATTATACATCAGCAATGAACAGGTGCATAAAGTAATTTTTGTTGCTTAATGTACAGAATTTTGGACTACTAGAGAAGCATAAGCAAGTGCATGAAATAAAGCCGTATCAAATCCACACTTTTCTTACTTAAAAGAGCTAAAGAGATATAATTTAAAAATTAAATATGGATTACGGTAGTAATGATTGATAAGATGATCATCACAAACTTAAGTGTATCTCAACTATGCTCACATATGGTTCATCGCCAAAGGAATGTGACTTGGTAGCATAATTCCGATTCTCAAATAGATTGCCATAACCATCAGTGCAATTGTCTTCATTTGTTCCAGAGCTGGATTCATCAACAACTGCATCTGTATTTGTAGATCTAAAATATTTTCCATCCATTACACCAAATCTAGAATTCCTGGATTTGTAGGAACAATTGCTCACTTCAAGATTTACAGGAGTACAGGCACTGGCTGAACATCTTGCACCAGCCGGTGAAACATCCTACCAAACCAAAAGATCAGACTAGTTAGTTATCAACAGATGGAAAACGAAGTGATGGATTTGGTTGAAAGATGCTATCACCTGGAATTCATGAAAACGACTGCTTGAGCACTTTCTGGTTTTGTCTGCAACACAGCCAAATAATAAGGTCAATGTCTATTTCTAATGCATTTAAGAGTATAGTAGAAAAAACCAATTATTTGCTCACATTCATCTGAAGTGGCAACACTTTCTGCAGGGCACTTATGAGCTGTTTTACTGGAACAGTAAACCTTATAACCTTCACCTTCATCATCAGAGAGGATAACACGAATGCGTTTACGACCAATCGTTAGGCTTCCAGACGATCTGGAAGTGCTTTGGGTTGACGATTCAGGGTGCTTGGTACAAGCATTAGGCACAGCTACACCAGCAGTTCTCAGTTTTGCTAAATTTCTTTTAGGTTGAAGAAGGGATATCAAAGGAGTAACTTCATCCAACTTATCTTGGTTGTCATTAAATATTTATTTTATGGAATTCAATTTACTTTTCTCTGGTGAAAAGCTACTATGAAACCTGTCATCTAGGGATAGATCATCCACCTCCGTTTCAGTTTCAGAACAGCAGTCCACTGCCATATCTTCAGCCTCCAGCTCTCTATTTTCTGACTGCTTTAGTTTGTCAATTAGCAATTGTATCTTCCTATACAGCAACCAGAAATAATTTCAATGCACAATTTTACTTCTAAACGCAAATAAGAATCGCGAGTAGATGTTTTATAGAAAAATCCCTCTAAAGAGCCCATTTCTTGAACAAGTCTTCCTAGAGCTTACTGAATAGAGAAATGTTCGATGTACACTTTGGTATAAAAATCGCGGATCCCACCCCCAATTTGAGGGGACTGTCTACCTGAATGTACACACTCATGTAAGGAAATAGTTGATGGAGGACAAATCTATCAATTCAGCCACAAAATTTTCCTAATCATAGCAGTCATCTTTATGTAACAATTTGTTATTTGAGATATTAACTTATTATTTGAGGCAATACAATTACGGAAAATTAATTTTTCAATTGTAATTATCACATAAAATTATTACTACAATCGTTGACTATGAAGAACATTTTTCAAAATTTTGAGTATAAAATTCAAACCAAAAATGAATATTAATAATCAGACAGGGCAGTTCCACCTGGACCCACTTTCTTTCTTAGAATAATGCTAGTTGGTTGAAAAAGATAATCATCAGATGCAATAAAAATCAAATAAATCATACATGCACAACCCATATCCTAATATTTTATAGAAAAAAATTTATTTTATTGAATTATTTATTATACGTAAATAAAAGAGAATTCTTTTCCTCTTTCCCTCCCTCTGGCAATGATACACACACTGTTGATTTGGAGAATCCTCTTTAATTTTGAAATCATTTTTTCTTTCTTTATAAATAACCTTCTTTATTTTTAAAAATTTTTAAATTAAACGATAAACGTACTCACCGCGGTTCTTCAGTATGTCGCCAATCGGGTTGGCCCGCCGCGCCTTCTCCTGTCGGTTCCCCCACCTCCGCCGCGCTCTTGTAAGCCCTCTTGGCCGCGCTCAACTGATGGCCTGTTTCGTCTTTCTGTCGCATTTAGATTCAATCTATAATATCTGAAAGAAGGATCAATCTGTTTTCTAAGGGATTTTTGCAGCTGATCGTGAGAAGAATATGGTGGCGGGATTTTGGAATGATAAATGTTCAAAAGTGGGAAATGCAAATCCCGCTAAGCCCGCGTGAGTTAAAATTTTTGTTCAAACTCTTGGCTTATTTTCAATATCACATCCTTTAATAAAATAATATTTTTCATCACATCAATAACTTTTTCTTCTTTTTCAACCACACATTATTCATCAATCTACTATTCCAGAATACATTCTTTCAAAATAATGTGGCTCAA